AAGAAGAAGAAGAAGAAGAAGAAGAAGAAGAAGAAGAAGAAGAAGAAGAAGAACGGTTTGTCCATCAATGTCTGATGAAGACCAGCGCTTATGCAAAAGAGAATATTTCTAAAGTGAAAAAGAAGAATTAAAGGATAAGATGAGACTAATTCAGGCTTTTGAGCATTTAAAAGTTTCAATTCCACATGTGGATGAGCACAGCTTCTGTCTTGGCTTCAGCATTTCTTATTCTAGAAGCCTTATAATAATAATCCCTAAAATGCAAAAATTGAAAAGCAAAATGGAAATTATTCTTAGTCATGAACTGTGCGTACTTTAGTACTAACAAGCTGACAGGATCTTCTGCTGTCTACAGCCAGGTACCCATTCCTACCAGAACACAGGTACCCATTCTCACCTGAACACACCTGAACACAAGCACCCATTCTCACCTGAACACGGGTACCCACTCTCACCTGAACACAGATAGGCCTATCCATTCTCACTTGAACACAGGTACCCATTCTCACTTGAACACAGGTACCCATCCTCACCTGAACACATGTACCCATTCTCACCTTAACACAGGTACCTATTCCCCACCTGAACGCAGGTACCCATTCTTACCTGAACACAGGTACCCATTCTCACCTGAACACAGGTACCCATTTTCACCTGAACACAGGTACCTACTCCCCACCTGAACGCAGATGAGAACTTCTGTTTCTGTCTGCTCTTACATTCCCACCTGAACATAGATGAGGACTTACTTGAAACTCTCCACAGCCAGCTTGGTATTGAGCGACTTCCAGTCCTCCACTCGGCGGCGCCACATGGTGCGCTGCGTCTTCTCTCGCTCCACGTCGGCAGACACCAGCCGCACGAACAGATCCGCGAAGGAGCGTCGGTTGCTCAGCATCGTCTGATTTATCATCTGTTCGGAGAATTTTAAAACTTTAATCAACACAACCTACAGCAAATACAACGAACAATGGATAAAACTTAAGGTCCATAAAGCATACAGTCAAAGAAAACTTATAGGTAATGAAACAAACAGTCCTTAAAACATATGGTCAATAAAACATACAGTAAATAATAAAACATGTGGTCCATTAGACATAAAGTCGTTAAAACATACATTCAAAGAAACATACCGTCAACAATAAGATATACAGTCATTAAAATGTGTGTCGGTAATAAAACATACAGTCCTTGAAATATACAGTCTTTAAAATGTACAGTCAATAAAACCAAGAATCAACAATAGAGCATACATTCACAAATAATGCAGTCAACAATAATATATACATTCACTAAAACATACAGTCAATAATAAAATATACTTTCACCAAAACATACAGTCAATAATAAAACATACATTCACTGAAACATACAGCCCTTGAGACAAATGGTCAATAAAACATACGACTTCACTTTTTCCAGTGACAGAATCACACAGGTATCAACAAACCTGCGACTCTTTGTCCATGAACCTCTGCAGATCCGGCGCCATCAAGTGCGCAATTTTATGAAGTTTTTCTCCATAGTTGGTGAATACATCCCGGATCTGAGAACACAGAAATTAATGCATTCACTCAGTGCCTAATGGTAATAAAAATATTCATAAGCCATTTACACACTCTCTCTACAGCATGCTCTATGTGCTTTATAAGTATTCACAACCATTAAAGAATTGTAGTTATTTGTTTCATTAAAAGTAGCACAAGGAAACAAAAATGGGTCTACAGTGCTAGGGGGGGGAAAAAAACAAGACAAAGAGGTGGAAATTTGAAAGCGGCAGGGAAAAAAGGTTCAATTAAAAAACAAACAGATTAACTTGCTGAACATTCAGGACAAAATACTCAAAACGTTATAATAATAATAATAACATAATAATAATAATGATAACATAGTAACATAATAACTCTGTCAGATGGATTCCGTTTTATTGTGAATCTACAACAACAGCAATAAAAAATACAGTGGTGTCCACTTCACAGCAACACAGACAAGAGCAACCTCCCCATAACAGCAACCTAAGCAGTTTTCCTAAATAGATAATCCCCATTAACGGCAGCTTTCTCCTGTAACAGCATCCTTAATCGCTATAAATTGTCAGTCAAAAAGTTTTGAAGATGATTGTAAAACAGTGTGAACAGTGTATACTGGCCAATAATTATAGTGTGCATACATCCAAAAGTGGATGATAAGGAACATTATTTGTACGTACAATACATGCTTATTTTACAAGCAAAATAGCTGTGCAAGTAGAGCCTCAAAGTTATTTATACCACCAAATTAAGACAATCGACAGAGATGAATTGTTTTCTTTTATGGTTTATGCAATTCCTGGATACTGCAACTTAAGATTTCAAAATGTATTAGATTATCAATGACATGGTAAAGACACGGTTTTTTGCTTTTAAAAATTTTTTCATTCAAGTAAAATACATAAACCGGGACTATCACTCATCTATCGTCCATATTTCTCCTTTTTTTTCTTGTGTGTTACTCTCTTGTTACACCTCTAATCTTCGGCAAATATATGATTAATTGGGCTGAAAGTGCCATAAAACTCTTATTAAAACAAAACAGACACAGGCATTCTTTTTGCTTCCAGGAGCTCGACCAATCTCCTACCTTGGACATGCGGTCAGCTTCCACTTGTTTGAGGTCCATATCCAGATCTGAAATCCACGACTGACGATTTGGACTATGACCTTGAACCTCCTCCCAAAGGGCAAAAAGGTCAGGGAGCTGGTACTCCAACAGTTTCTGAAATACAAACAACAACAACTGATCAATACTGTACATCGTCAGACAGTTATTCACATGTGTTAAGACCAAAATTTTGAAAATGTTGTAAAGTTGCTGATTTTTAATCTGTAGCATCTGTGGCATATACTCATGATTGTGCTATACAAGCTGCTGTTAGAGCAGGTTCAACTGAAGTTGCTACAGTACAACAAGAAAATCAAGATCTGACAGGAGAGGGCGTAGTTCTTGACTTCCTCTATGTGTACAACCTGGGCAAAGCTGTGTCATGCATACTGTTTAAGATTGTCTGTTCAGACGCAAAAAGGCCAAAAGGAAAATAAAAAATCTTATAGCAAATGCAGAGTCATGCTGTCTTCCAGTTCACTCCACACAAAAACATTCAATACCTGGGCTGTGACTTAAGCAGTATGAACAAGATTAACTGCAAAGACGATGACTTCACATACCTCATCCTTGTCAATGCGGGTAAGAATCTTGGTAATCTCTCCATCATCTGCAGCCAGTTTTTGAAGTAATTTGGACGACAACTGTTCAATCTTAGGTTCCATTTCCTATGACACACAAATCGAAACGTGAAGCAACCACTACTAAGTTTGGTACTTTTTTTAAAGAGAATAAAGTCTAAAGTATTTTTAAAATTAAGTTCAGACTAAATTTATACATAAACAAGTGCAGGCAGTTAAACAGCAATGGAAACAAATCTCTTTGCACTACACAATATAAAGTCATCTAAAGGTATCACTTCTGAGGAAAAAAAGAAAGAAGGTTTTCCTATGAAAGACCAGGGGCTTTTACCAAACAGAAGAGAAAATGCTCGCTGTAGACCCTAACCTGAGAGCCTAATATGAGGTTCAAAAGAAAGGCAAAACACAGCGGAGTCCACTTAATTCTTAATTACACTGAAAACAGCGGCTAATACGTGAAAAACAGTAAATCAAGAGAAAATAGCTCCCCCACCTCAACCCTCAATTTTTAAAATATTATTTTCTTATATATATATATCTGAGCAGCCTCTCTAAACAAAAAAACAAACAGCTAAACTTAAGAAACTTTGCCGGTCACGCAGATATTGGTTTTATCAAACTCCATTGCTGATATTCAAATAGCAAACGAAAGGAAAACAAGGAAAAAGAAGAGCTGAGAGAATGATTATGTCACACTTACCGTGCTGATGACACTGAGCTCTTGGTGCATGTCCTCAACTGCTGATTCATGTCTGTGAAGAAAATATACATGCGAAACTCAACGTAAATTTTAGAATAAAATATAAGACACACAGTGTGACATCATCCTTTTAACTACACTCTCAGCTATCTTTTTGTCTTTTCATCAGTTTTTCTTTATTTCTTTTCTTGTTGCATTCATCATATTGTAATCACTCTCTCAAACTAAACCACCAGTGTTTGTGGTGTAGCAGTTAGGTGCTTCCCCATCACATGCAGGAGACCCCAGTCCAACTCCCAAGTGGGGAGACATTCTCTTGAGTATCTCAGTCAATCTTCTGGAATGTTGTATCCCTCTCAGCCCAGGTTGGCCCCCTGACAGTCAGGGTAGGAAGTCTGTCTCTTAAATGAGCTAAATTGTGTCCATGGGTGTTTTTAAAAAAAACTCCTTTTTTTTTTTCAAACCAAACGACAGAGAATATCACCAATCTTACAATGTACTCTTCCTCTGCTCAGAAAAATAAAAGCCCGGAAATTCCTTTCCCATACAAGGGCATATCCAAGTCTAAACTGAAATGTGGTTCTGATCAGCTGTCTCTTTTCAGCTCTCAAAATCTCAGGACATAACTGTCACTAAATTGTCCAAAACAGACATCAACACCAACTTACCGTTGCCTTCTGCTCTCTGCTATTCTCTCAACAATGTCAGAGCCCTGTTTGGAAGGAACTGAAGAAAAAAAAGTAGAAATATTAGCATTTTTGACCACTTATCATTCACATGTCAATGTGAACCATATTAAGTCCTTTGGCCCTACAGGAATAAATCAGACAAATCAACAGTGGTCTCTCATATAGTCATACTTGTCTCTGCACAGTGCACAAAAGTGATAATTGGGGATGATCTGGGAGCTATATCATTCTGACTCTGCAATCTATATCTCAATGAGAACTGCCAGCTCTTTATACAATCAGTTTGTTGTTGTTTTATCTAGACATAAACCTTTCTTTTTAAATGGTGTTTATCTTGAACTACTGAACAAAAAAAGGGAATAAACTAGAGGGGTGAGACACTCAGTAAAGTACCGTAGCTGGAAAAGTGTGACAACTGAAAGGACAAATAATCCAAGCCATACAGTTTCAGATGCAGTGCACTGGAGATAGTTGATATCAACACCATGATGTGTGCAAAAAGTATACTACCACTTCAAAAGAGACAAATTCTACTTTTAACAATTAGAAAACCTGAGTAATTTTCACCTAAAACTGAGAGGAATTTAGTCTAAAAAAGATACAGATTTATGAAATGCTCCAACACTTTCTTAAAAACACAAGCACAATAGCTATATTCAGTATGCCTTACCTACAATATCCGGCAAACCCCGAACTTCTTTTCCACCAACAGAACTGTCAGACTCACGGACCTTTTGGCTGACAAAATCTGTATATTGTCTGAAGAAAAAAGATCATAATATATTTAATAATAATCAATAATAAATAGCTGCATGACGTCTTAGCAACAGGATAGTCAGCAGTTCCAAGGAACAATTATGGAAGGAATATGGCGAAATATTAAGTGAACTGTGCAAACACTCGCCACGACAACTCTACAAAAGTGTCAAAGCAATGAGACTACGAGACGAACCATACAGCCCAATAGCAGTAGTCAATGACAAAGATAGAAACCCACTCAGTGAAGAAGACAGCATCAAAAACAGATGGCAGGAGTATTTCAGGGAACTCTTCTTAATTCAAGCAGCCAAGGAAACACACAGAGCCAATTTCAACCACGATACACAGAAGAAGAAGAACCAAACATCTTAAGATTAGAGGTACAGCAGGCACTGAAGAATAGCCCAAGGAAAGAAGCAGCAGGCATTGATGGTATTACAACTGAAGCCATCCCGGCATGTGGAGAAACAGCAATCACTTGGCTGACCACAATATTCCAAAAAGCATGGAGGGAGAGGAAAGTCCCAGAAGACTGGCAGCGTGCAGTTGTGACACCAGTGTGGAAGAAGAAAGGCAGCAAGAAAGACTGCAACACCTACCGAGGAATTTCCCTTCTGAGCCACACAAAAAGAAGTACGAAAAGATCTTAGAACAGCGAACAAGGCACAAGGTGGAACAAATAACTGAGTGAGACGCAGATGGGTTTCAGAAAAGGGAGAGGGTGCACAGACGCTATCTTCGCTCTCAGACAACAGAACGAAAGGACAATTGCATACAACAAAGAACTGAATCTTGAGAATGTTGACCAGGAAAAAGTGTTTGATAAAGTAGATAGAAACAAACTGTGGCAAACACTTGAAGGGTACAGCATTAGGTGACAACTGTTGGACAACATCAGAGTCATCTATACCAACAGTATGAGCACAGTCCGCACCCACAACGGACTCACAGACTAGTTCGAAGTGTCATCAGGAGTGAGACAAGGGTGTGTGTTTTCACCGCTACTAATTATAATATACATGGACAAAATTACAAAAGACGCAAACCCGAATCTGATAGACCTAAATGAGACGCTATTTGTGGACGATCAAAGCCTGGCATGTGAGAAAGAAGAGCAACTTCAAGAGCACATAGACAGGCTGGACACACAAAGTGAAAAGCTCAACATGAAGATCAGTAAAAGCAAAACGGAGACGATGAAAATCAGCAGAACACCTGGCAACCTTAACATCACCATCGACGGAAATCTGCTGAAACAAGTCAGTGAGTTCAAGTATCTTGGTAGCATCTTTTCAGAAGATGGACGTCTCAACAGAGGAATTGAGATGAGAGTACAAAAGGCTAACAGAATCAGCTATAACCAGCTTTCCCCGCCACTCAAGCATCCCAACATCCCCATTGAGACCAAAGACAAGCTCATTAACTCTATCTTCATCCCCACTTTGACCTACCAGTGCCAGACATGGACCCGGGTCAAAAGTCTTGAAAGTAAGATAACCACCTGCGAGATGAGATGTCATACGTTACTTTTTAAAACAGCATATGGCAGAGCCTAACTTACACTGAGTAGTCAGTTTTATTTTAATGGTTACTGTCAACCTAAGACATGAGTAGGAATTGCTACCATTAAGACTGCAATGCAAAACTCATTTCGACACCTCATAAAATGATACGGCAAGACACAAAAAAGTCAAAAGTTGCTCACTTGTACAATACAGGATTCTCTGTGTAAGGATCATTAGGAAATCCACCGATCCACGTTTTCTGTCTGCTGGTGAGGATGCCGTGCTGTGTGTCTTCTTTATCCAGTCGGATCAGAGGGAGGCTTTGGGACTGGGACAGTTCTCTTGACTTGAGACGTTGAATTCTCGACTCAGAGTCATAGCGAGATAAACTGCGATTCAGCTGAAGCTGTTGAGTGGGAGTAAAAAGGAAATTATATAAACTAGTCTACAAAAAGGCAATCATAATATATACCATCTCTGTTATGAAATTGCATTTATAACTTGGTGAAAACAGATAATCACATATATATATACGCAAAATAAAATACAATAACGTACTATCTCTGTGTTCAATCAAAGAGCATTGAATTTTTCTGTTTTAAATCAAATATAGATGCAGCACAGTTCTGTACATCAGGATATCTCCAAGTGACTCTTGTCAATACTTGGTATGACAGTAAAGATGTAATGTTTATTTATTAGATCATTTGAAATATTATACTGTGTAAGTCACAAAGTTTGTTCACTAATATTGTTCGAAATTTCAAGAGGTACAAAGAGGACTAGACTGTCATGCTCTCTCTTTACCATTGCCAGGGATACTACGCACAGACAACTTTGAATAAGTAAAACTTGAGACACATCGACTCACTAGCACTTGGATTAGCTCCCAACAACATCTCCAATTACATACAAGATAACTGTCCTTTGCCGAGGGCTAAATGTGTATACAATAAATTAAGGCACCTTGTATTTAAGCAATCTCACTCAAATGTAGGCAGAGGCCTACCAACAAAATCTTTTAGATCGGGAGATCAGTCTCTAATGAGAATACCTAGGCAGAGAGGTAAAAAAAAAACCTCTTTGGGAGATCTTTTTCTCATCTTGCTCCATCTATCTGGAGCTGTCTCCCACAACATTTGAGGGGATAAAAAGAAAAATTAGGAGGCAAAATTTATAAATTTGAGTCATATTGATAGTTATAGTCCTTTTTCTTGAAAGAGTAGGATACTCTTATATTCATAATATGCTGTGCAAATTGTTATCCATTGTGCTGTGATTGTACCAATGTTTGCTTAGGTGTAGTATTAAACTAAAGACATTATAATAAATATGTATGCATGTTCATTTACTTGTGTGTTGTGTATATGAATTTTAAGATAAGATTAAAGTGGGCGCTATTGAAATTATCTGTAGTATTATTGCTATTATCATTATATCAAGAGCCACATGAGTAGTCTTAGTATGACAAATTAACGAAAACTACTAGCAAGCTTCTGCTAACAATCTTTTAAAATAGAAAACCGATCCGATCCAGAAAGACAAGTATAAAAGGCTTCTGTTGTTTATCCTGCAATTTAACCTTAAATTGGTTCATATTTCTTTGAAAGGCAAGCCTACGGAATTGTCTATGATAGTGTTTAGTCAATGAAGTAAGGGTGAGGCTTTTTTATCTTTTTATAAAAGTTATTTACGTAGGCTAAGCGGAGGGTTGCGGGATTTCCGAGTCTGAGGTAAAGCTGAGGAGTAGAGGAAAACTTCAAATTGGGAATCGGAGTGTTTGCGTAGGTACATCCAACCTCCACCATAAAGTGATATTTCAGGAACCCTTAGCTTGCTCTCACAATAGCTTTCAGGGCTAAAGAAACTCAAGACAGTCAATAATGAATAATAAGCGTCCTGTCTCTACTTCTCACCTGCGCGTCAAACATTTGCCGGTAAATTTGTCCAGTTGGGACGACCCGCATGGTTTTGGCTGATTCCACAGACATTTTGGCCTATTTCTTATTATCTAACATCATAAAATAAACTGTGACTAAAATTTAAATACGCTTAGACAGCTATAAAGTTTCCGGCAAGGCGTAACAGACAGGTTAGGAGAAGTAAACACTGTAATGCGCCGCCATTTTGGCCGCGTTCCCACAGCAACGTCGATTACTCAAGGATGTTGTGGAACTCTTTTTCGTTATAATACGATTTGAGTCGAGGATTAGTAAGGGGCATAACTGCCATAAAAAAGGGCTGGTACAAACTCTGAAGATCTGTTAGTTCCCCTGAATTGGGTGTCGGACTGTGTGTGACAGTGTGTGTGTGTGTGTGTGTGTGTGTGTGTGTGTGTGTGTGTGTGTGTGTGT